CCACGGAGGGGCCCGGACTCCGGCCTTTTAACGCATAACAATGGTATCAACAAACAGCTACTTAATCAATATTTGGCCAGAGTGCCTGAAAACTTCCTTTTCAAATTTTAATTCCTCGTTGTAAAACAACCCCAGAGCAGCCAGCCAGCTTAGACATTAAACTGATTGCTTAATTGCCTTTTACTGTCTTGTTAGTTATAGACGCACATCCTTAATGGTTCTTTAATCTTTATTTACTTGCATAAATAAGTCGCCTGTCATAGCACCCCTGAAAACCAATTCAGACCTAGCCGGCCCAGCCCTGGGCAAATGCTGTTTCCTCTCCATTTGCTTGTTTCTCCTTGCCATTACAATGTCGCTGTTTAATTGCATTGTTTAACAACACAGGCTATTTACATATGCAGTTGAACATTTACCCTCCTGTTTACGAAGGATGTTTTGTTTGTTTGGTCTTCAAAATTCGTATATTCGTGGATGTCAAAAGCAAGTTCGGTGGCACCTCTCCTATTCGCGTGACTGATTTCGGCAGGCACTCACCGCCACTTCGTGATGGGTTTTACGGCCCTACCCTGGGGACTCTTAAATGACCCCTTGGTAATTACTACACACTTGATACCCTGCATCCCCAACCGACTGCTATCAGCAATCAAATCAAGCCCGCCACTAAAGATATGACCTCGAGCATTGATTTTTCAGTCTCCACGTTCTCAGGTAGAAAGAGAGCCTACTACAACAAGCCATGACACCAAATGAACTCACCAAAAAGTGAAAACCGATCCTAAGACTGGGGGGTTCTGTTACAAGCCCCCCCCCCCCCTCCGAAAGCAAACACACAAAACCCTCACGTTACAGCTCAAGCCTTAGGGAAAAGAGGGTGTTCTTTTTGGAGGGGTGCTGTTCTTGTCCAAATTCGGGGTTTTCGCCTATTTGCAAAAGGAGGGGTATTTCTGGTGGAGGGGGCCAAGGATTTTGCAGAAATATGAAGTGTATACTCTAAAGACGCCTGCGTCTGTGTGGGACGCTCCAGCTTAAGATTCCAATCTTTAACCCCACAATCAGAGACCCGTGATTTTAATCCCTGAGAACGTTTGTCCTTACTCTTCCCCCTTAAAAAAAAAAAAGCCCTAATGGCCCTTCCATCTTCCCTTCCTAACTAGGAGCTGGGAGTTGGCCTCCAAGCTCCTTCCATCTGAGTATCTCTCCCATGCAGGAGCGCATTCTCTTTTCCAAGGTGCCATCGGCATGAGATACAGCCGGGACCTTAGAATTTTTCCCTGTGTTCAACTGCTTGATCCCCGCCAACAGCGGAAGTCGCCAAAACCACAGGTTTACAAACCTCTCTCGACTACAGCAAAACTAGGGTCACTTTTACTTTCTCAAATGAAAACAAAAAAGCAGCCGTGTTGTTTTGTTTTGTTTGTTTTATATACACGCATCCCGCGGACTGGGAGAGGATCAGGATGGGAAAGCAATACAGTCTTTCTGCTACTTCTGCTTGGGGGAATCTCTCCACTAGATCTTTGAAATTGTTGCAAACCTCCCATGCTCACTTGTGATTTAAGAAGCTAGGTGGTGGGGGAGGGGGAGCCTAGGAAAGTATATCTCCAACCCCAATCAAAACATCATTTTGGCAATCTGGCCTCTCTCGTCCGGCCCTCCCTGGCTGCCACTTCAAAGGCAGCACAACAAGTCAGGAATTGTAACGTTGCATCTAAATATTTAAGTGTGAGTTCTGCAGTCGCGTGTCCACTATACAGCCCTCATCTGTCCTCTAATTCCATTACGGCACAAAGCAAAAATGTTTCCCAAAACTCACCAACAGGAAAAGCGTCACCCTGCTGGAAGAGGAGGAGAAGGATGGGGAGGAGGAGGACCCCTTTCTATTGATTAGTCACCGCTTTTGTGTTAAGGGCTTTCTTTAAAATAAGAAAAAAAAATGGGGGAGGTTGCAGAAATTTCACTAATGTGAGCCTCAGGCAAGGGAGGGAGAAAAAAAAGGAGAAGAAGGGGGGAGGCGGGCAGCATCTAGATGAAAGTGAGAAGGACATAAAGGAGCCGATTGAGTCGGCTGCAGCCCGGCGAGCTAAGCTGCGAGCCGAGTCGGCGAGCGCAGGGGAGGGGGCGGCGCGGCGCTTTGGCGCTGGGCGAGGAGTGGGGGCCCCGGCCATTGTGGCGGCGCCCGCGGGCCCGCTGGGCCGCGCCGGGGGAGGAACAGAGGCCCCCATTGAGCGCTCACCGCGCGGGCTGTGCACACTGCCCCCGAAGCCGTGGCCCGGGCTTGGGTCCTCCGACTGCGTCCGCTCCGCCCTCGGCGCGGGCCAAGGGCGAAGCGTGGGGAGGAGTGGTGCTCCCTGGTCACCCAACCTTCTCCGCTTCCCCTGGCGAGGGACCTGGAACCATGGGCCCGACAGGAACATTGGGTGCCTGGTGCGCGCCAGGGTGCACAGGCCAGTGCGCACCAGGCGGGTGAGGCCGCTGCGTGGCTGGTGGAGGAAGTGAGGCACGGGACATCTGGGAAGGTGAAAGGGACCCGGGGAGGAGACCGAGAAAGCCTGACAGAGGGATGACGGAAGCTGACCTCTTGGGGCGAATCTAGACCTGTGTCGTGGTGTCTGCCCAGCTGACCTTAGGGCAAAGAGGCCCCTGGAAAGCCAAGCTTCTGCAGTGCCTGCCTGCAAGGGAGCAAGTGGGGCACACCCAAAGGCCTTCCTCTTCCAGCCTCCTGGTTCTCAGCATCTGTCAGGGCACACAGCACCCCTTATCAACATCCATTCTATTTTCCATGAGAAGCCACCTGCAATGGTTGAGACCCAAACACCAGAAGGAAATGTTTCAGGTTTTTAGACTTTCTTTCAAACGACTTCTCCCTCTGTCCTTCTCTGGGCGCCGCCCCCCCCCCCCCCTTGTGCTCTAGGATGTATCTAGTAAAGGAACTAACCGGAGGCTCTGAAGAGACCAGAGCTACATCTGCCTTGACAACCCCAAATTAAATTAGACTTCAGCCACCCAGGTGTGTGTGTGTGTGTGTGTGTGCCAGGGGTGTGTGTGTGTGTGTGCCAGGGGTGTGTGTGTGTGTGTGTGTCCATGGCCCAGCCCCCCGCTGGGGAGAATACCCTGGTTTTTAAAAAATGGTAGCAATTGTCCTTGAATGGCAGCCAGCCTAGCTAGATGGCCCCAAAGACTAGAAACATTTTGTAGGTGCAATGGCCACTTTTTCCACGCTGGAGAGTCCATAAAACTTCCTGGCACAGCAGCTCCTGGGCTCATTGAATAATTCATCCCTCATTGCAAGCCCATAATGTCCCTTCTCGGGCCTTTGTGGGGCTGTTTTCTCTTCTTTTCTCCTTGAATTATAAAAAGGTTGCCTGCCTTTGTCCACATCAAGCTGCTGCGAGCCGGAGCTTTGTCTGGGCCGAGCTAAAGTGTGAGTTTCAATGGACTCTCCAGGCTTTGTCTCCCAAGTTCATCTCCAAGTGTAGATTGTGTAGAGAAGGCCTTCTTTGTAAAAGCTGGAAAAGTTGTACAAATGTTTGACCAGCTCATTTGGGGTGTTTTGTCTCCTCGGCCTCTGCTGCCTGTGCTCAGAGAGCCCCCAGTAGCAGCCCATCCAGCCCGGCCGCTGCTGCTGCTGCCGCCGCCGCCCGCCACTGGCGCCTCCAGCAACAAGTAGTCAAGCCTTGGGGTTAGCTGACTCCCGGCTTCCCAGCATTTATCTGCTGCATAAAGGGCCCCTCGAGAGTCTCTTCTCTGAGATCTGGGCATAAACACACCTCTCCAAAAGGAAGCGAGTGGCTAGACCAAGGCAAGGGGGTGGAGGAGCAGCAACAAAATTATCTCCAGAGCCCTAGCCTGCCGGAGCAGGGATCACCGAAATTGGCTGTTTAGATTTAGGATGTGCAAATCTAAGTATCCCTTGGGTGTGGCAAGCGAAGGGTGCACTGCTTTGAAAAACAGCTACTCCCGAGAAGCAGCAGTTGTCCACTCGGTTGGGAACTGAAGGTCAAAGAAGCAACCAACCCCACCCTGGACACCACCAGGCCTCGCTGCAGCTCCTGCTGGCGAAAATGGGTGCCCACCCCAAACCCACCAGAATCTTGGTGAGAGTGTAGCCCAAGAGCGCCTGCTGCAGGCCAAACCCGGGACAGGAGGTCACAGACTCACATAAGAGAAGTCCACATCCCAGGCAAGGGGACAAGCGGCTCCGGGCAACACAGTCCCAGAACCCCTGCACTTAACCAGGTGCCAACGTGTCCTCCGCGAGAATTGCTAAGATCAACTCGACCTCTCGCCCACTCCCCGTTCAACTTCAAAACTATATATATAATCTTCCGATTCCTGTCTGAGGACCACCCGCAGCAGGTAAAGGAGATTTCCTCCTAGTGCTGACAGACCTAAGGGAACCAGGCGCAGCTGGACAGCACCCCTGGGCAGAGGTGGGGCCAGCCCGCTGCAGGCCCAGAAACCCCCCACACACATATCTCCGGAGTTAGAGCTTGGGACGTTGCTTCTGCAACGCAAACAGGCCAAGCCCCTGCACACCTGAAACTCCACTTCTTCTGAAGAGGGGAAATAACAACAACAACCAACACACAGGTGCTATAAGGCGACCAGTCTGGAGAACTCTCCGGATGCGCTGCCCCCACAGAGTTTCTTTCTCTGTGAAAAGCTCTCTAGAGACCCGGGGCCTTTCCTGAGAGCACATGCAAAAGCGACTCCGATTCTTCCCTAGTCCGAGGACCCTCAGTCCCCAGGCCTCCTCCCAAAGCACAAGACCAGACTCTGGGTGGCTGGATGGGAGTGAGGATTACAACACGGAGTCGTTCAGCAACTGAAAATGTCTCTTCTCTCACGGCAGCTGTCTCTGGGTTATCGTTTGCCGCCTTCACTCTGAGCCACCAGCTGTGGGCACAGAGGGCCCCTGGGCCGAAGTAGGCTGCTCGGCGTTAGGGTGCCGCGCTCCGGGGACCGGGCCCTGGGCGCGGGCGGGCCGCCGCTCTTACCTCTTTCGCTCAGGATGCCGTCTATGCTGTGTTTAGCTTTTTTCTCGCTCTCCTCTGCCTCCTTCCTCTCCAAGTCAGCCTCCTCCTCTTCGCCTTTTCCGAATTTACTCCTCAGAATACGGCTGATGGAGCTCACTGGGGGCGGGAGGGGTGGGCGAGGGGGCGCACAGGGTTGAGAGGAGCGGGGCCTGAGAGAAGAGGCCCCTAGTCCCCAGGCCCGGCCAAGCTCCCCCTCACCTTCCCACTCATAACCGGCCTGTGTGCCGAAAAAGCCGCCCTCCCATGGTCAACCAGAACACTAGCCCTCTCCTCCTAGATCCCCAATCTTGGAGAGTTCTCCCACTGGCCCCCCTGCGTCCGGCCCCACCTGAAAGCACTGGACCCCAAGTTCCGCTCAGGGGGCCAGAACCCCAGTGGCCCTATCCATTGCAACCCAGCCTTTTTTTTTTTAAGGCCATAAAGGGTTTCCATTTCAACTCCAGCATCGTTTCCTATTGTAAAATCAAAAGAAAATGCACTCTCCCCCATTTATTTTTTCCAGATTCTAGTCTGGTAAACAAATCCATGCTCTGAAATATCTCGTTCTTGCAGGGGGAAAAGGGAGTTTCCTTTTAATTAAAAACAAACTCTCCCGCTCGCCCTCGCGCTTGCCCCTTGCTAACCCTCTTCTCCACCTCCCTGCTGCCTGGGGGCCGGGATGGGCCTGGGGCACCAGGGGGAAACTTTGGGGCCCTGGCCAAAGCACCCCCCTCCTTGGTGCTCCCAGCAAAGAAGGCTCGGCCTCATCTCCCCTCCCGTCAGTTGGGGTTACAAAAACATTTGTTTCTCTTTAAAAGAGGGAGCATCAATATTAATAACCGCTTGGCCTCTGCTGGTGTTTCCTGCCCGGCCTCCTCGCAGAAACCCTCTTTGGGGAGCCCTGTATGGAGGCCTCTGGAAGCCACCACCCCTCAAACAAGCTGTTCACCCCTCCCTCCCTTAAAAAATATGCACAGAACGAATGATTGGTTCATAAATATTTCAGGGCCGGGGAGGGCTGCCTCCAAAGCCTGGATCGATAATTGGGTGATTAGGGCTTGGAGGAGCCGCCAGAGTAACAGCCATTGATGGCCACCCCCAGGGAGATGACAATGGATTGGTCGTTACCTGAGGGCACCGTGTTTCGATCACAGACTGCATCCTTGAGTAATTTGTCTCGGATTTCCCAGCTGAACATGCCCGGGTTCTCTCTTTTGTATTCCTCAATTTTCTTCTCCACATCAGGCGTTGTCACCTGCTTTAAGAGAACAGGCAGGTCCCCGGTTGGTACCAGTCAGCGGGAGGCCGGGCCTCACTGTCTGGGTTCCCTCCCACATAGCCAGAGAAGATATCTCTTCGGGGGCAGCTTATTTTGAAAAGAGGGTACACCAGAAATTACCACCTTGCCCCAGAAAGGCCTGGGCCCCACCACTGTCTCCAAAAAAGATGGGTCAGGCCAAGCCCAGAATAAGAAGAGCCCGAACACTTAGGGGAGGAGGGTGTAAGACTTTCTGGGCCTTCGGGGGAAAAACAGCAACTCCTTACAGAGAAGCGTCTCACCCAAAACGAAACTAAAGGAGAAATGCTTAAAAGTAAGAGAAATCAAAGTGTTTCTGCAACCAGTGCTTCCCCCCAAAATAACCAACGGTCCACTCAAAGTAAGGACAGAAGTGTTGACCAAAAGATGAGGGGGTGGATTTTTTAAAATCGGCTCAATTGGATAACAAATATGGATACTTGAGAGACTGGCTCCTCACGCCCCCAATAAAAAGAGCTTCCAAGTGTTCCTGGTGGAGTTGTGAAGAGGTTTGGGATGGAAGGGGTTGGGAAGTGTCAGTTGACCCTAAGCCTCCAGTTGAATTTGCCCTGTGGCAACTGAAAATTATATTGGATTTTCCCCTTCCTGCGGGAGAAAGGCAGACCCGTGCAACCCCACTCCCACTCACCCCACCAAGGTGGGATGTGTTCCCTTTAAAAAGGAAACCAAATCATTTGAGGATTGCACCAAACTACTTAGGAAAAACTTATCTGCCCCTTACCAAAAAATCATCCTCCTCCTTTTGGAAAAGTTACCTGCTCCTTACAAGAAATCGTCATAATCATAACCTGCCAGCTTCTGACTCCAAGAAGACGATCTGATCGGTGGAAAGGAATGGCATTTACAGCTGGAGTCGGAAGATAAATGGTTCCAACCAGGACCCATCAGAAAACCCAAGAGGCTCCTGGAATTTGTTTTGGAAAAGGGGTGTGCAGCGGATGAGAAAGGGGAAGCTACAAGAGGAAAAATTGGTCAACAGGTGGGCAGTGCCGCTTGTGTGCTTTTAGCGCTACTGGTTAAAATAAATTTCTGGGGATTGGAGAGTATAAAAACACAAAAGGAGGCCTTCTTTGAAAAATACTGGAACTTTGGATTCGCGTTCATGGAGGAACCTTGGGCCTTAGAAACCATTCTCTCCTACCCCCTTGCACACAGGCACACTCGCACTCACCTGCGCGCGCACACGCACACGCACGTGTGCACACACCTACCTTCTCAGATTTTAAAAAAGAACTCCTAGGAAAGCCCCAGATGGCAGTATTTGCCTCCTGCCCACCCTTGTCTAACCCTGAGGACCTCTGGAGGCCCGGCAGCAGCCGCCTCGTGGGTCCGGGCCCATGCGCTCACCTTGGGCTTACTGCCTCCGATGGCTCCTGGGCGGATGGAGCCAGTCTCCTGGTACCTGCACAGGATTTTTGAGACGCAGCCGTGGGACACACGCAGCTGGCGCGAGATGACGCAGGGCCGGATGCCATGGTGGGCCATCTCCACGATCTTGTGGCGGATGTGGTTGGGCAGGGGCCTGCCGTTGATAAAGACGCCTCCGAGCTGGTTGACTCGGCCCTGGCCGAGGGGAGTGGACACTGGGGACAGGAGGGAAAAGAGACCAGGGGGGAAGTCACTTGAGGGGAAAGAAAGGGGAACCCGAAGGCCAGTCTGCAAGTCACAGCCCCCAGCACTTAGTGACTTTCATCTGCTCTCAACCACAAGACCTTCTTTTAGTTACATGTGTGCAAGCGAATAAGCAGCCTGTGGGTAAACAAGGCACCCTGGAGGAGGATTCTTCCGTGGAGAAAGTCACCTGAACATTTAACTTGGCCCCTGGAGAAACTGCCTTCCCTTTGGGTATCAGTTAGGGGGTCGTCCTCGGAGGTGCGATTTCAAGAAAGAGCCCAGGGCTGGTGCAGAATACAACTTGTCCAAGAAAAGGCCTCTTTGCAGAGCAAGCGGGAGAAAGAGCAGCCACCCTGGACTCTGGCCTCTCCAGCTGGGCTCCACACACCCAGGCACACTGGGCCACTTCTTTCTAAAGGCCTTGAGTTAGCTGACAGCCCTTGGGGGTTCTGGCTAAGAAAACAGTCAAGAGTCAGAGGAGGTCATGAGAGGAGGCCACAGGCAGCAGTGTGTCACCTGTTATCACCTGGGGCCCAGAACAGCAGGGCTCAGGTGCTGGGTCCACCCGCCCTTCTACTCCGCACCCCAGGACTAGTATCCCCGGCTCTGGCGGCCCCCAACTTGGCTATCTGTCTAGAAAACTCTGCTTGCTGAGCTTCCTGGCTCCCTGGCCTTCCCAGAAGCTCCTGGCTGATGAGTGGTGGTTGCCCACATGCATCAGGTTAAATTTGAGATGCCTCTTGAGCTGAAGGGAACTTTAACCAGTTCATTAATCCCAAAAAGTCCTATCCCAGTGCCGTTGTGAATCTGCCACCTCTTCTCCACGCAAGAAAGCACTTCAGGAAGTAACTGGAGGTTTGCACAGGTGGGCGCAGCCCCGAGATGACACTTTGGAGCAGAAAAGAGGCGCAGGAGTTGCTCAGAAGCCGGTGCACCCCTTCCACGCCGAGGCCTTCCAAAACAACCGGGAGAAGTGGCCCGGGCCTGTGCGCAGGCCTGTCCTCGCCAGGCTGCGCCACTGTTTGCGCGGTGAGCTAGCGCACTCCGTGGCCAGGGGGCAATCCCCAGAGCCTCCGGCCTCAGTATTCGGCCTCCTGAAGCTGGGTTGGACGTCCGAAGGTTGAGCTCCCCAGAAGAACGCGGGAGACCGCGGGCTGAGCCCTGGGAGCGGCTGGCGGCTGGCGGGCCCTGCTTACCTTCCAGCGGGAAGCCGCTGCGCGGGTAGTTCTGGCCGGGGCCCGGCCGCATCATCCTGGGCACGGCGCCGGCCAGCGTGGTCATCTTGCGCCGCTCCGCGCGGCAGAGATCCAGGGGCAGACGGGGACCACCGAGGCGTGCGCGGCGCGGGGGACCCTCGGGAACTCCCCTGAGCGCGGAGAGCCCCTCCCCGCAAAGGCTGGAGATAGGCGGGGAGGCGGACCAGGGGGGGCTGCGCGTCCTCGGGCCGGCGATGGACCGGGGCACTGGGGGCGGCGGGGAAGCCCCGGAGCCCAGGCTCCCGAACCCAGAGCGGAAAAGTTGGGGGCGAGTCTGAGCAAGTTCGCTGGGGGTGCGGGGAGGGGGCTCCGAGCGCGGCGATGAGCCGGGGAGGGGGCGGGGCGGGAGCGCGGGCCGCCGAGTCTCCTCCCGTCGTGACACCGAATGCGGGGAGCCGGGCTCGGGAGCATTTATTAGTTCTTTCACCCAAAGCTTGGTCAGAAGCCCTGAGCTGCGATTGGCCGACAGCGAAACCGTCCCGGGTGGCGGAGACACGCGCTGATTGGGCGACAGCGGCCACTTTCTCTTCCCATCCCCAGCGGGGTCCTGGCCCGGGCCGGCCCGAGAGGGACCTGAGCCGCGCCCCTTCCCCGGGTGAGCAGGGCGGACCGTGGACGCCCTGAGCGACGGCCCGGGGAGAGGACAGCCCGAGGGTGGAGAGGGGTTCTGCGACGCTGCTGTCACTTTGTGCGTGGGCGTTTTGGTCTCTTTCTCTCCTTGACTGGGTATTTCTGTGTGTGGGGAGGATGGTGTGCACCCCTTTGCCTCCGTTTCTCTCGGCCGAGAGGTGACTATATATGTTTTTCTTCTCTCTCTCTCTCTCTCTCTCTCCCTCCCTCCCTCCCATCCTCCCTCCTTCCCTCCTCTCTTCTCCCTCCCTCGGCTTACTGCCACTGGAGCAAACACAGTTCTACTCCGAAGGCATTGGGGCCTCAGGCCCACGGAGTCTTCCTTCCCTGGTTAATGCCCCTGGCCTAGGCTTGCCCTAGGGTCCACCAGGGGGTAACTCCTCTCAGAAGCCCTCCAGGGGGCTGCAGATCAAGTTCTTTTGTCTTCCACGTCTGCGGGTGTGGTGACAGTGTGGCGCCAGGGGCTGCGCGTCCGGGTCCCCAGGATGCTTAATTGAAGACTGAGGTGGGGGGTGGGGTGCCCTCCTCTCCTCCATGCTGTAAGAACGGTCCCGCTCTGGGACGCGGGCGCTCTGGATCCAGCGGTACACATCTCCGATCGGTCCGCCGAGATGCGTCTGTCCATAGGTTAAAGTTTTGCCCGGCTGCGGCGTTTGTTCTCAGGAATTTATTATGGCATTCAGACTAAACTGCTGGAAAAAGAAAAGGAGCGAAGCCTTGGCTAGGAGCTGAAGTGTCCCCAGCAGGATATGACGCCAGGAGTGTTGTAAAGACTGTCTGTCCTTAGAGAAGGTACCATTGTGCGCGGCCTTTTATTTATAACTTGGTAAGTGCCAGCGAACTCGCCTCCTTCACACCCGGAGTGCCAGGCCCGCGCTTTGCGGCGCTTTCTTCGCCCGAGTCTATTCAGGCACTGTCACTCCAGCCCCGAGCAGTATTCAGCGCCTTAATCAATCAAAAGGATGAGAATCGGGCAGGGTTTTTTCCCCCTCTTTGAAATAAAGGAAACAATGACTTCTGGGCTTCAAGTTCCCACTTTGCCTTTTACGATTTTTTTTTTAATCCCTACCCCCACACCCTGCACTAGTGTCTCTGTCTCCCTCTCTGTCTCTCTCTTCTCTCTTCCTTCTTTCTTTCTCTCCTCCCTCCCTCCCTTCTTTGACAGTTTTTTAAGCAAACTTGGGCTCTCACCCCCACTTCCCCACCCCCTAATTAAGGCACGCTCAGAAAGCAAGGGGGAGGGGGAGGTGTACAGCGCTAGGCTCCTTTAAAAGCACAGTGGAGAAGGCAAGCTGCTTTGGGCTGGCTCCTGGGACCTTCAGAGATACCCAGGATGTGTGGCTGCTGTCCCCCTGAGGGTGGGGGTGGGAGGCATGGGGGCTGTGCCTTGTAGTAGTCAGGAGAAAGATGCTGCTCCGGGGCAAACGCCATGTCACCATGTAATCACCTAGGGTGATTCAACTTGTGAAGGGAACAACTGGTTGACTTCCTCTTGGTGCACTTGTGGGCCCTCGAAGCTGGAGGGAGTCCCTGTCCCCTAGCCACTTTTCAAGGATTCCATCCTGAGTGCTTTCTAGACGTGTCCCCAGTTTTCTGGCTTCGGTCGGTGTCCAGAGGAGCCAGTGGGGTGGCCTAAGAATGTCAGAGGCGGGCAGCTGAAAACTGGATTTCAGGGGGGGACCCGACCATCTCCAGCCACCATTCCCTCTGGCACGGCAGCTCACAGGTCTGTGAAGGGAGCCGTGGCGTGGCTGGGCGTCCTCACGGAGGGGCAGCAGCTACCTTAGTGAACTCTGCTGTGGAACTGGGACACCAGCGCCCCTGGGTGCCAGTCCCGAATGAGCACCCCCCAAATTCGGCAGCCTTCACACGTGAACTTGCTCCCAAAATGTACAAATAGAGACAGAGGGAGAAACGGGTGGGAACTTCAGGGAGAGGGTTTATAGCAGCTCCAGAGGCCAGAGGCGACATGGTTCCAATCCTCTAGCCTCACTGGCTAAGGGCTCCGGGCTCTAGAGCATTCTCTCCGTGGCATCGAAGCAGACCGGGATGGAAATGGACCACCTCAGTTTGGAAGGCTGAGCCAGGAAAGCCTCTCCTTGGGAGACACTTTCAAAGGCTTCCGAATAAGTCCCTGCGGCCTTGGTCTCGATGTGCGACCCAGAGGTCAAAACCCAAAAGTGAACCGAGATGGATGGCCGCCAAGCCCTAGGCCTAAGGGTCAAGGCAGAGAGGGCAGAGTGCAACAGGTCCTGAATTCTCCTCCGCGCTCCCCGCCCCCGCCCCCGCGCACTGCCCACTCAGTTGTGCAGGTGTCCTTGCTGAACTTATCAGGACCGCTCTTCCCCCATCGCCTAAGTTTGGGTCTCCCCTCCTTCCTTTTGAAGTCTCTCTGGAAGCTGAAACCTCCACCCACCTCCACCGGGGTCCCTTTACTCTCCCTCCCCTGCCCTCCCACCCCAGAACTTGGGTCCGCGGGATAGGCAGTGGCCACCGGGTCGTTCCGTTGCGGGGATGGGAGCCGAGGGCTCACGTCCGGCGGGCTGCAGCCCAGGTGCGAGGGGCAGCGTCATTTCTCTGGCCGGACTAAATATCCTAAGCGTTGTCGGGCGCTCTGGGTTCACGAGTAAAATGAAACTGAAGCCTAGAGGAGAGTAGTTGAATCACTCAGAGGGGGAGAAGAGTTGCCGCAGACATCACCTCCCGGCTACCCAGTTTCAGACCCAGTTTGGGGGCTATCGGTGGGGCTGCGCTGCAGTCGGGGAAGTTCCTGCTGCGGGCCTGGGCGAGGGCTCGCCCTCCCCTGCGCTGCGCGTTGGGATGCGTGGCTCCGCAGATCCAACGGTCCCATCACAGTCAGGTGGTGTGTATCTGGTCTTGGAAATACATTTAAAGTGAAGTACAGCCTCCGCACTTGGGGACTTCAGCCTAAGCGTTTTCTGGCTCAGGGGTTCATGACCTCTAGGACGCTAGATAGTCATAGCCTGACTGGACCTGCAGAAGAAATGATCATCTGTGCAGAAGAACACAACACACTATGCTGGCGGGGGTGGGAGTGGGGGCCACAGCTGGCTTGCTACTCAGACCTTTAGCTCTCTCATGGCCCAGGGAGAAGTGCCTGACTGTGGCACCTGAAGGTTTCGGCAAATGACTTCAAGCTCTCTCCTCGTCCACTCAGTACCCTGTCCTGGGCAAGAAATCAAAAAGCTACGTTCTCAACCACTGGAGTTCTGATTGGGTGGGACACCAGATGGATGAATAGTTTAGTTAAACTATGGCAGAGACAGCTGCCAGGGGCCTCACACCGCCACCCACCCACCTACCTCATTAGTTTTCTAAAGCAGTGGTGAATTTTTCTCCCTCCCTCCCTCCCAAGTCTGTTGAGGTGACTTGGGAAGTAAGGTGACTGGAGGCAGCTCTGGGTGCTGCCCTGAAATGCAGTGTGGGCCTGGGACAGCCAGCAAGCTTGTCCCTACTGTTGTGCCTCCCCCCTCCCCCTCTACCCATACCACCACACACCCCCACAGCTGGAGGAGGTAAGCGGCTTCCTTCACTGGCGTTCTCCATCAAGAACATATGGTCTGTGGGAAGGCAAGAAGGAAGGGTGGAGAGGTAGGGAGAGGAAGAAGAGGGCCTTCGAGTTTTGAAAGGGAATGAAGGGTTGAGGGAATGCCTCTCGGGTAACCTGACGTCCATGGAGATCGCCTTGCTTCTGCAAAAACTATTTTCGTGCCAAGGAGGAAGATGCCGGAAAACAATTCTCCTGGGGTAAACGAGCTCCAAACGAGTCTTGGAGAAAATTAAAATGAATCTTTTCTAATCTTCAAAAAATGTTCTGCCCAACTCCCTTAGAGTCCACAGGGAGATCTGGGTTTAGAAGAGAAATTCGTTAACTGTTCTGGTGTGTGTGTGTGTGTGTGTGTGTGTGTGTGTGTGTGTGTGTGAAAGAGAGAGAGCTGTGTATAGGGAGGGTGAAAGTCAGAGGGCCTTGGCGGTGTAACAGGTATTGAGGGCAGTCTGTACCGTCTGGGGCTGAAGTGAGCACCCACCAGGGTGGTGGTGGTGATGGGGGATCTGTTCATTTGCCATGATGCACAAGGGGGAAAAGAGAAAAAAAATAACAGAGCAAATGACTTCGGGAACTCTGGCCCCTGGGAGTGCTGGAAGTGCATTGGGCGGTGGGTCTGTCCCCCCTCTGAGCATAGACTGCTTCTCTTGGGTGTAGCCAGGCCTCTCCCTCTCCTACTCTGTGCCCCGAGGGCAGGGACCAGCGCTGCCAGTAGCCCGGCAGTCCTAGGCACAAGACTCTTCCAGCCCAGCAGGGAACTTCACCCCCAGAGATGGATTTCTGCGGGAGGAAGAGCGTCCCCGAAGGCAGCTGGGAAGGCGGCTGCT